AAGCAAGGATTGACACCTGAGGTTGTCTCTGCCCTCCACATGTGTGTCACTGTTCATGCATGCCTGCACACACACACACACGCACACGGACACATGGATTAAATAAGGTAATATATGTAAATTCTAGGTAAAGAAAAACTTTGAATATAGATGTTTCTTGTTTCACGATAGGATTACGTCTTAGTCAAACCATAAGCTGAAAATCTGATCATGCAAATATACATTAAATGTAAGCAGCCCAGCACACCGCAGTATTGGTTGTCTCCCTTGTATTGCAGGGTTGATGGAACTACAGTTTTCTGTGACTGTTTATCAGCAAAAGAGAGGGTGAGACTGTGTGTTTCTCCCTCCAGAAAAGACCTGGATTAAAAACTTGAAGTATGATTTCTACTGAATGTATTGCTTTTTCATGATAGTAAAATTGGTAAGCCACTGGTTCAACCACCATCATGATAGGGACCATCTGGTAAGTCTCCCCTCCATTCATTGGAAAAGCCCATAGGGGCTTCCTGCCCAGGCCTTTGGTATACATAATATGGATGCTTCTGGCCAGTTTGGCTCTCTTCCTCAGAAACCCTCTCAATGACACTTTAGTTATTCATGACATTAATCACCTCATTCCATGTCTTTGTTGCTTGCTGAGGACAGTGGCTGTTAAAAATGCTGCAAGATCCCCGGCGGCAGTTGGCAACAGAAATGCTGTAGGTCCCCAAATGGTGGTAGTGGGCCATGTGGCAGCAGGCAGCGGGCCCTGGGAGCAGCTCGTCCCAGGCAGAGACGACTGCTGGGTCCCGAGTGGTGGCTGGTTCCAGGCGGGGAGACATGGCGGGTGGGTTGGTCAATCCCAGAGAGCCCAGAGGTGTGAGCAGGCAGTGGGTAGAAGCCTCATGGACAGACACATCGTACAGAATAGAACTGAATATTTAATATTTAGAGGAGAGAGGGGGGAAGAAGGAGACGAGAAAGGAGAGAGACAGAGAAAAGGGGAGCAGGAGAGAGGGAGCACGTGCGCCAAGAAGGAACAGTGAGAATCAAGATGGTGAGAGGAGGGCAGGGGTCGCCGGGAGTGGGCATGGCTTGTCTCTTAAGGTGACAACCATAACAGTGGCCCTCATGGTTCATTGCTTCACACTGTAGTGCCTCTTGTGATCTTTTGTTGTGAGGTTGAAATGAAGGGTAGACACATCATATTGGTGTCAGTCAGAGGCAGGAATGCTGACTTCCCCTCACAAAATTTATAGGGACTGAGAGCTTCAATGGACAGCTTCATTCATTGATGGGTAATGAAAAATCTCACACTCTTTCTCTTTTTATTTATTTTTCTTTCATATAATACTTCCTCCTTTTCCCAGGAGCCACTGCTCCTCTCTCTCCACTCAGAAAAGAGCAGGCCTCCCTGTGATATCAACGTAACATAGCATAAGAAGACACATTATGACTAGGCATAAATTCTCATCTCAAGGGTGGGCAAGGCAACCCAGTAGGAGGGAAGAGTCTCATGAGCAAGTGAAAGAGTCAGAGACACCCCAACTCTCATTATTAGAAGTCCCACAAAAACCCCAAGCCAAACAACCACAGCTTGTGTACAGAGGATCTAGCATAGACTCTGTGATTGCCGCGCCAGTGTCCGTGAGCCCCCATGAGTCCTGCTTACTTGAGGCTGTGGGCTGTGTTCTGGCATCCTCGACACCTCTGACTCTGACAATCCTTCCTCCCCCTCTTCCAAGGACTTCCCTGAGCTCCACCTAACATTTGGTGTGGGTCTCTAGATCTGCTCCCACCACTTTCTGGAGGAAGCCCATCTGATGAAGAAATGTCTCTTCTACTGAATGGTTCAAGAGCCCCAACCAGCCTCACTGTGTTAAATTATTTTGCTAGTTGGTTTAGAGAGTGTGAGGGTTTGTGAACATGGTTTTTTGAGTTTGAGTATGAAATGGCATTGGTCCCTAGGGATTTACCTTTCCCTTCTGTCTTACAAACAACTTTGGTAACTTGCCAGGCAATTTTTTTTCCCCAGATACTCTGGCATACGTAGTCCGTGTTTCTTCTGGGCCTCTGCTTCCCACACCAGTACTTGGTTTATTACGACCACATGTCTTTAATGATGATGAGACACACTCTCAGATGATGGGCTATGTTGTTAGGTGCTTGTTTTTCATTGTGTTACCTCCACAGACCTAGACAGCAGAAGTCAATTACTCAATCTGGCCTCTTGATGGACTCATAAAAGGTAAGCATATTTATGAACTGCTATCAGCATATGCTACATAATGTCTTAGTAAACTTGTAAGTAGGGATACACTTTCCAATAAGAAATATAGTAAATACACAAGCTGGCAACAGTCATGTATTAACAAGTGTGGTGTTCTGCACATACTATAATATGTATTAAACTGACAGTGTAGTAAATATCATCAGCATTACCTCCTACACTTGAGAAATACATTGTATTAAGGCATTAGAAAGACTTTATTGTCCCTAGGTGACAAGAATTCCTTGGCTCCATTATAATCCGCTGGACCACTGTCATCTAAGCAGTCTTCCTTTGTTGATACATCATCACATAATTAATGTATTGCTGTACTTATTTAGAGGCTGTGGACCAGCACCCAGAATTTAAAAATGCGAGTTCACCTGAAGTTGGACGATTGGATTGTAGTTGAGGTTGTAGGCATCTGCAACAGTTATTAATCTCCTATGTTAGCTGCTTATCCAGCACACCAAGGTGAGGGTCTCATTCGTGCAAGGCAGACACAGCAGGTCCCTCCCTGCACTATCCTGTCTACATACTACCCATGGTGGGTTACTTGCTCCTATACAAATTCATATAATTTTTATGGCAAGATAAAAGGACTCTTTGTCATGTGTTGTATGCATGTGTGCATCTAGTCCAGCTGTCAACATAACCTAGCATTTTCCGAAGGCGTCTCAGGAAATCACCTCCATCGGACTGGCCTATGAGCATGTCTGGGAGGCATTTTCTCAGTTGGTAATGGATGTGAGAGGGCCTGGAGCCCTGTGGATGGTGCCCATCTATGGATTGTATAGGAAAGCTAGTTGAAATGGTTTGTCCATTGTGTGGCGATGTCTCCTTATTGAGAGGTGAGGACACCACTTCTATGTGGGTGTGAGGATAAATATTTAGAATGGAGTTAGGGATTATGTTAGTTCACTAAAGTGACAGTTACAGACTCTGAGAACCAATACTTCACTAGTCCCCGGTAGCTGGCTATGTGTCCAGTACCAGGCATGATTTCCCTCTTGTTGAGTGAGTCTGAGCTCCAATCAGAGAGCTGTTGCTAATCACCAAGGTATGAATGCTGTTACTGAATCGGTAGGGTTGTTGTGCCATGGTCATTGTTGTGCTTTATAGCTGGGTAGGACTGTTGGTTATGTCCCTCCTCTGAAGCTCTCGTGTCACCTTCTGGTACTATGAAAGCCAATCCTCGAGGAGGCTTTCAAAGTTCTTGCTCAGGGGCCTCTGGGTCCAGTGTCTGATGCTGGGAGAGGGAGAAATAGTCTTCTTTAGAGACAAGCACACCAACTGGTTATCCACTACCAAATGGTCAGCCCTGAGGACATACACCCAAGTAACATTATACAGGTTATAGTTATATATGTAGGAATGTATATATACATATATGTATGCATATATACACACATATACATATGTGCATGTAACAACAATGAAAAAAGCCATGTCTTTGGAAGAGAAGCAAGGAAGGGTCTATGGGAGCGTTTGGACAAAGGAAAGGATAGGGAGGAAATGATGTAATTATGGCTATAATCTCAACTAAGAAAAGAAATAATTAAAAAAAAAGAAAGCTGTCTAAGCAAGCCAGGGAGAAAAAGCCAGTAAGCAGCATTCGTCCATGGTCTCCATGTCAGTTCTTCCCTCAGTTTCTGCCTCCAGTTCTTGCTCTGATTGTGACCTAGAAGTGTAAAATGAAACCAACCCTTTCCTCGTTTGTTTTGGTCCTGATATTTTTCACAGTAGCAGAACGCAAAGTGGGGCCACATCTCAGCTGAGAAGCCAATGAATGCTTTGTTTTAGGGATACATCCTGTCTCAGACACTGCTGCTAGCCCACCTGTCTGCCTGGTGTGGGGCAGACCCGCCTTTCTGCTGTCTCCTGTCTATTCCCACCCTGTGCTCCAGGAAACAACTCTTCATGGCTCACACATCTGAGGGCCAGAGGGAAGAGCCGAGCTGGAAGTCTGCCCCGGTCTGAACTAGGCAATTCTGGATGATGAGGACTTTAGTCAGTCTAAGTGTGCTCCTGGAAGGGAGGTAAAGAGACCACGACTCCTTGCCACAGTGGAAGCTATGACTGCTTCTTATTGTCTGACTAGTTGACATCCAACATGTGCTTGGGACAAATCATGTTCAGCTTCCCTGCTGGTAACTTCTTGGGTTCCTTAGTGCCCCTGATATACGTAGAGCCCATGTCCCCCCAAAGGAACAGAAGGGTGACAAGTATGAGCCTTGGGGCTGACTGGGGCATGTAGGCAATGCCTGTGCAGTTTCACCTTTTGAATGAGAATGTCCCCCCTCCCAGCTTGTATATTTGAATGTTTGATTCCCAGTTGGTGAACTGTTTGGGAGGGCTTAGTTGGTGTGGCCCTGTTGGAGAAGGTGTGTCACTGGGGGTGGACTTTGAGGTTCCAAAAGCCACATTAGGTTCAGTCTCTTTCTTTCTCTGCCTGCAACTGGCAGATGAGATGTGAGCTTTTGGCTTCTGCCCCATTACCGTGTCTGTGTGCCTGCCTGCTGCCATGCTCCCCACCATGATGATCATAGATTAATCCTCCGAAATTGTAAGCAAGACCCCAATTAATGCTTTCTTTTATAAGATGCCTTGGTCATGGTGTCTCTTCACAACAATAGAACACTAAGACAGCTCTCAACTCTGTCCCATCCAGGGCCTGAATCCCGCCCACTCTCGGGCTCACATCTTCTGCCCCAACTGCATTGTTCCCACTATTGAGACACACAGCCTCTCCATGGTCATTTTTATTTAAAGACTCAGAAACACAGGCATCAGAGTTTGCCACTACTGTCAATTCATCCAAAATCACAGACTGACATTGGTGTATAATAGAAACATATGTGGGGGTGGGGACATGTGCTTGCACGTTTGTGTGTATGTGTGTTGTACAAAGTACAAGGGCTTCCGCGTCACCTGGAATGGTTTTGGAGTGTCCAGCCTTATAGTCTCACCCCACCACAGACCATCTTGTCTTATCTCTCTTGTTCCTTCCTTCAATCCTCTTGGGGCTGGACTGAACTGTCTCCATGGTGACCCTCAATCTGAAGGGCTGAGAACTATTCAAGGAAAACCACCTGGCCACCAAATGCTGTTGTATGAGTAAGAAGTACATGCTGCTGGCCAGGATGGAAAGAGAAGTTTCTAGATGGGCTGCTGGCTTCACATTTTGGTAGCCAAGACATGTGTCCTCAAAGGTACATAAGGAAAGGTACCTCTTTTCTGTTCTGGACTGTGGAATACATGATTTTGAAAGTTAAAGGGTTTGAGAGTATTCAAAATACTCAGACCATGGGGCTCATTATGCATTTTTAAGAGCCCCACCTTGGAATGAGCCCTGGGGCCCTGTTTCCCTCCCAAGGCAGTTCCTGTGTAAACCCAGGACTTTGCTAGGAGAGGGTCCCCCTAGTGTTGTCCAAACCTTGCTACTTTCCTCAGCATTCTATCAAGCTGCTACCTCCTCACCATCACGAGAAAGGAGGACAAGTCAAAGTTGACATGTTGACTCCAAATCGATCTTGTTGAGGAGAAAAAAGGGGACTTTCATTGTCTAGAAACCAGAGTTAGCTCTGGCTCCACTAAAAACATGTCTCTCCCAGGATATAGCCTGCTACACCTCCCTGGTGACGGCATGGATTTAACCATACACAGATCTGTGCACGGATGGGCAAGTAGTTTAGCAGTGGCAGTGACCAGAGACCTTGTGGTTGTCACTGACCCTGCACACAGGGACCCCTATGCCTAAGCTCATTGGCTCAGAACAGTTTTCTTATGCAATAAGTCTATTATCAAGGAGGAAGAGACTTTCCCTGGGTGTCATTACTTTCATGTGGCGGTAACGCCCAGTTAAATCATAGCCCCGAATAGGAACTTTGAGGATAAGTGGTCCTTATTTTATTACAAAAACTAGTGATAGCCTCTGATACCAAAGGCTGACACAGGGCTGGGTGGTTTTGTAAAAAATGTACACAGAGGTTCACAAATTGAGATTTCTGAGGTGGAAAAAAGTGTTTCTAAGTGTGCCACTCACACCTCTTGATGGCCATTCAGGCCAGCCTCTTGGGAAGCAAGCTGTTGTCCCAGTGAACTTTACAGGAAGGCTTCAGGGCCAAAGAAACCATCCTGTTCCCTTTTCCAGCGTCCCCAGACCCTGTAAGCCTGGAGTCGTGAGCTAGACTCTTATTATCCCGGTACCTTTGGTCTCTAGCAGATGGAATTTTGCCTGGCCTGATATGGGAAGTTACTTATTTTTGAAACAGAGACAAAACCTTTGTAAGGTAGTCATCTGAGCTGTGCAGCAAGACACACTTTAAGAATGCTATTTTTAGCCACTCTCTCTAAAGCAATCAAAGGGAGCTTCAGGGGTCAGTGTGTGTGTGCGCGCACACTCACGTATGTGTTTCCTTTCCACACAAAAAGGCAGAATAAATTTCTCAAAATGTTTCCATTTTTTTTAAAAAAATCATAACCACTCCTATGTAGACGGAGCATGTGGTTTAGGCTATTGCCAGCAGCTAGGAAGACCCTCTCCGACTCCACGTGACCGTCCCGGCAGACTTTCTCCCTCACCTCGCGGAACACCAGGCAACGTTTTGATTTTACAGATAGGAATTTTTCAGTATGCTCCCAACTTCATATGGGAAATATATAAAACTTTTCTTTGATGTTACCTCCATTTTTTTCCCTTGAAGCTTACCCAAGTGATTTCTAGTTTTACAAAAATCAGCACCAGATGCATGAAAAATATGCAGCGTCCGACCTATTAGAAATATATAAAGTTTAAGACTTGTACGTTAAAAAGGTGCCATACGAAGGAAGCAATGCAGAGACAGTGGTGGCAAAACCAAAATGTGTTCCTTATCATCCTGGTAGGAGATAGAGCCATAAGGATTCTGTAGTACCCAACAGGACCCCACTGGACACCTTGGGAGACTCAGAGCCCTTATGCGAGGCTCCTCAACCACAAATGCCCTGTCTGTGGGGCTTGATGGCAGGTGTCAGAGGTATATAGAGGAATGGTACCCAGGACAGCCGGGGAAGGTACTCCACATTGCTGTCAGCCCTAGCACACGGCCCCACTCTACACCCAGGCTCCCAACCGTGCACCAACAACTAAGGTTGCCTTAGCTGCTGGGTGGAATAGTAGTGCATTTGTCTACGTGGGCAATTTTTCTGTGGTACTGGTCACTGAGACTCATGGCATGATCCTGAAGGACACTCATGTGTGCTTTCGATGAGGGTATGGCCTTAACAACCAAGACGACATCCACATGTCACATGAGGGTACGGCTGTCACAACCAAGACGACATCCATATGTGCTTTCAACTAGGACTTCACAACCGCGTCATCACCCCAGTCTGGTTGTTCCTGACAGGTGCTTTAGAAGGGCTCTGGGACCTAGGTGACAAGGCTTCCTCTGCTCACATGGTGCTTTCTTGGGTACCTTCTCCGGGAAGGCAGAACTGGACATGAGCAGCGGCCTTCAGAAGCTCTCTACAAAGCTGCCTGGGAAGAGGCCCGTGCGGCCATTCCGCTGCAGAGTCCCCTTGAACCAGCCGTCTTCATGCTTCTTGTGTACGAAGACGATGTCACCTTCCTTTAGTTCAATCTCTGCTTCACTCTGTGGAGGGTAAGAGACCACCACACGGTACCTGGGAGGACAGAAGGAACAGCATGTGATGGGGGGGGGGCGCTAGGTTATCCCTCTTGTGCCCTGGATCCTACCCGCCCACTTCAAGCTCTCTAGACCCTCTTCTCTCTGTGTCAGTTCTTACAGTGTGGGGTTACTTTTCATATTTTGTAAAATTATCTTTTTAAAGTTTTCCCAAAGCTTTTTAATTTGCCACCGAATCTCCCTTGGAGCTTAGGATACCACCCAGTATCTCAGTCAGCTTCCTGTTGACCGCAAGATGCAGGACTCTGAACTATGCCTGCATGCATGCCACCATACTCCCTGCTATGATGAACTAAATCTCTGAAACTAAGTGAGCCCTCTCAATTAAATGTTTTTCTTATAAGAGTTGCAATGGTTATGATGTCTCTTCTTAGCACTAAAAACTCTAACTTAGACACAAGGTAGGTTGGGAATAAGAAGTATGCCCCAGGGCTTGGGTAAAGAGGAACATTTCTTAAGCTTGATCCCTGGCAAACTCCATTTTTCCCAGTCCCCAAGAAGGTTCCAGAACTTGGGTGATAGTCCTAAAGAGATAAAAACCCTCACCTCCTTACCTCTCTCTGGGCAGTGGCTTAGGTTCAGGGCGGATGGAAGCCATGGACAGAGTTGCTTGCCGAGAAGGGGACAAAGAGAAATTCAGATCCAAAGAGCCAGCTTTTCTGTGCAGTGGCTCCAATCCAATGGCTCCCTGCATCTCGCTCTCTATGGGGCAGGAACCTGCCCTGCCGTGGACGGTCAATGGGGACACTTCAGGGCCCACAGCACCCTGCAGTGAGGTATCCAGGGCCGACTGGGGGTCGTGGGTTGGAGATATGGATGGTGGGGAGCGTGACTTCTTCTTGGTAGATGCCCCAGCTAGCAGCTTCAGCAGCCCAGTCTTCTTTTCCTTCTGCAGAAACACACACAGTTAAATGGGATATGGTAGTATCTGGGAGGACGGTCCCATTAAAGACATTAAAGACAGTCCTGTTAATCTAGTCCGAGGAAGATAACCAAGACAAGCCTGAAAACTCAAGTGTTCTTCACTGCAATCTGGAAGGAGCATCTCACAAGGCCAGCTCCCATGGGAGGTTTGCTGGCTAGGGATCCCACAAAACAGGACTTCCCCATGATAGGACCTGTGTCGGAGGAACCCGGTCAGGGTGAATGCTTTGGTCTGTAGGGGAGATGTTTCTAGTGGGGCGTCTCATGGATCTGGACCATACTGTGGCTTGGATCTTCTGAGAGGAGTTCTGGACAGTCTCTATGTCATATCCTACTATTATTTTTCCCTAGTATTATTTTTAAAAATTAAAGAAAATTGCAAGACTTTTAGCCCTGCTGGGAGGGTAATTATTCTTCACAGCGCACCCAGACATACAGTCGCTCATCCAAGGAGGAGCTACAGTATATGTCTTTGGGACAATTGGTTTAGAATCCTTGGGCATTTAAACTTTCCTCCACACAAACAGCAGTGGAGTATGTATATGTGTGCATGCATGTGTGTGTGTGTGAATGCATGAGTGTGTGTATATGCATGTGTGCACAGTGTGGGCATATAACATATATCTGTATAGTGTGTATATGTATATATTGTGTGTATATTATATGTATATAGGATGTATATGTGTATATATAGTATGTGCATAACATTTATGTATATATAGTGCGCACATATATAGTATGTATGATGTGTATGTATATTGTATGTATATGTGCAGTGTGTATATAGCATGTGTATATGTAGAATTATAAAATATATACTGTGTATATATAGTGTACATAACATGTATATATAGTATATGTAGCATGGATATGATGTGTATATATAGATAGATATATTGTATATAATGTATGTGAGGATACAGTGTTGTATAATGTGTGATTTCAAGTCTCACAGTGTGTAGCATCACAGGTCTATATGGCCCGTAACTGAAGCGTGGTTATCTGAAGACTTCTGGCTCTGCTGATGTGCAATTTTTGGGGTGCTTTGTTGTCAGGGTGGCTAACTGGACCGTGATCTCCACCTTCAGCAGCCAGAGGGCCATGAGCCCATACATGGGGGCCGTGAGCATCCTTCTGAGCTGTGCACAGTCTCGTGGCAGCTGATCATGGGGGAGCTGCTGAGTACTGTGCATGACAACTGAAAAGAAGCTGTCTGCAGGACTGACTGACTGACTGACTGGAACTACAGGGCAGGGGAGAGGCTGAGATGTTGCAGCCTTGTCCTGGGCTAGCTTTATCCCCTAGAACAGCCATTCCTTTCTCACCTCTGTGTTAGAGGTAATATCCTGTGACTAATGGATACAAACCTTTTGGAATCTATTAACTTAGCAGACCACTGGCTTCCACCAGCCTAAAGGCTAAGAACGTCATCAGATAGCATCTTAGGCCTACAGAAAACCTTCCCCCATTGGCTATAAGCACCTCTCTTAGACACTAATATATTTTAAACTTACCTTGATTTATGACTTCCTTTGCTCAGTAAGATTATAAAAATTATGAAACTGCTTCCACATTGGAACATGGACTTTAGGATAACCTAAGTCTGTTCTTGGGCATGGTCACTCAGAATGGCTCCAGAAGACACTATCTCTTCCCTTTAAGTAGGTTTCCCCCCGCCATCAGCATGGAGGGTTCAGGATCCCCCCACTTGGAGAGCATCATACAAAGCAACCTCTAGTCAGTCCCTCCTCTGTGTTACCCCTCCCTACATGGCTCAGGGTTCCCCGAGCTGGCTTTTCTTCCTTTCCTCCCAAACATGTACATGTCAGTCCCAGCGTCGGGCATGGAACACTTAATGCTGAATGCTCCTGCAGCCACATTAGCCTTGCTTCTTCCAAGAACTTTGCCTAAATTTCTTGTGCCTTGCTTTAGGCCCTGGGAGCTGGATAGGAAATGGAAAATGGAACCAGAGTCTTTAGTTATACGCAAGTTCAGTTGGAGCATCTGCCATGCTGTCTGGGGCTTAAGGTGTAGTGTTGCCAAGCTTATGTATACCCAGGCCACCCTAGGGGGAGAGCTGGAGAGGGCGGTGTCCTCAGGAAGTCACTGGAAGCTGCAGTGAGAGCAAAGGGGAGAGGGGATGCTAGCCCCGGTCAGGACTGGAAGGACTCTAGGGTCTGAGGAGGGGGGCAGGCTCCCCCAAAAGGACAGCAAAGCTTCCTCATGGGGCAATCTTGCCCATAGAGGACAGGGGACAAAGTCTGAGACAGTTTGAGTGGTCCAGATGTGCTGCTTAGTGTCTCTCAGCATGCCAGGACACAGCCTCCAACATTCCAAAAGCTGCAATAGGTCCATGGTGTGAGTAGGGAAGATGGTCCACCCAGGTGTCTAGCCTAAGTCTATCACTTACTCTGAAGGCATCACCCCCCTCCCAGCGTGACAGGTGAAATCTAGCAGCCAACAAAGGCCCTGATGTATATCCTCCCCGCCCTTGACCACCTATGTGTCTTCATCCATTGGATTATTATTCACCCGTTTCCTTTTCAGCCTCCCTCTGGAATACAAGCTTTGGAAGGGGAGGGGTATTTCATTTTGTTTATCACAGCACTGCAGGGCCTAACAGTGCCTGGAGCATGTGGGCACTCCATACTTGTGCACATGATGCACTGAGCTCAGCATCAGAGCTGTTAGGATGCCTGAGTAGAGAGACACTTGGGGCCGTTCACAAGGCACTCCAGGCTGTGAGAACCTTGCTGTCATGTGCAGTGAACCAGAGGAAGACAAGTCCCTGTCACCTCACCCCACGCCACTGAGATTCTTGGTGCCTACATCCAGCTTTACTGGTATATATTGAAAAGGGACAGGGCGGCCATGCGTATGGGTAATTTTCCTGTCTCAGTTCTTCGGGATTAAACGTGACTCACGATTTTCTGAATTTAACTTGGACAAACACTGATTTCTTGAATACAGAGATTTCTCCCAAATGTTTGCCTTCTGGAGTGGGAGTCTGCCAATGCCTGCAGCATCTAGTGATCTCTGTGCTGTGGGAGCCCTCAGAATAGCAGCCATCAGGCCCGTGCAATTCATGGAATACGGTAGCAGATGTTCTGAGCACTTCCTGGGGAGTCATCACGTATGACACCGATAAGGATTAACTAAGAGGCACTTTGCTATATGTGATGGGGAAAGATTCATGACTCAGTCTGGGGAATAACAGGGGAGATGACAGATTTTATAGGAACAGTCTGGACTAAGGGTTTATGTTGAAAAAGGATGGACTGTAGGGTTTCTTCTGGACAGTGGATAAATTAGAGAATTAACAAGCCTGGCAAGAGGAGAATCCCATGTTTCCAACCGATCATTCTGGATTCTTGGAGTCCATCTGAACCCTTCTAGAATTACATCCCTTATCCCAGCAGCATCTTTGTGTGGCCAAGATCCAGTCAGAGGGGACCAAGGGCTCTGACCAGGGCAAAGGGCCGGAGGGTAATGGACTAGGCCAGGCTGGGACCTTCAGCAGGAGGTGTGCCAGAAGCTCCCACTGTCAAGATGTGCATGTGAAAGCATCTCTCCCTCTAGACCTAAGACCATCCTGCATATCAGATATTTGCATCAGTATTCCTAACAGCAGCAAAATTACAGTTAAAAGTAACAAGGAAAATGTTATGGTTGGGGAGGTCACCACCACATGAGGAACGGCATCAAAGGGTTGCATATTGATGGAGGTTGAGAACCAACTCCGGAGTCTTGGGAGGGAGATAAATTGAGAGCTTTTGAGAAAACACTGAACACACATGCTCACATTTGCATGTGTGCACTGTGCACATATGCTCACACTTGTACATATTCAGTGTTCACATACTCAAACCTGAACACACATACCCTCTTAATCTAGTTACCACCTGTGCTGGAGGGCTGGCTGAGTGGGCCTGAGTTCAGTCCCCAGCATCTGCATGAAGACTCTGTAGCTCCAGTTCCAGGGGATCTGACACCCTTTCTGGCCTCCACGGGAATGGGCATACATGTGATACACACATACATGCAGACAAAACACATCACAAACTCCAATATTAAGAGACTGGGGTGGAGGTTAGGGATGTAGTGTGTGTGTGGGGTAAAGCACTTGGCTAATATGCATAAGTCCCCTCCCCCCAGATTCCATCTCAAGCACTTCAGGAGATTTTTGATGTTTATTGGTACTGCACTGTAAGACATACAGATTGTAAAATATTATTTTGGGTTATGATTAAGTCTGACGCCTTAATGTCTTTGTTTTGTGTTGTCCCTGTATAAAAATGCAGCCAGAGGACAAAGACGCTTAAAGCTGAACGACTCAACTGCTGAAGGCCAATCAAATGGTAGAAAATTGTCACATGGGATAGGATTTGGTGTTTAAGAATAAATACTAAACTTTTCACCATGCATTTCACCAAAATTCATACATTTAGATCCTTTATTTTTTTGAGACGATGTTTTGCTATGTAGCTCAGACTATCCCAGAACCTGAAATTCTCTTGCCTCATCCCCGTTAGTAGCTGGAATTATCAGCCTTCACCACTATACCTAGCATGAATACATACACATGTGTGCATGCGTATGCACACACACACACACACACACACACACACACACACACGCACACTGTCACCGTCTTGGTGCAGTGGCAACATGTTGGTCTCATAAATACATATTGTATGTGTGTATTGTATGTTTACATACACTGTTTGGTCCTGCTGGGGATGGAACTTTACTTGCATGCACTAGGCAAATGTTACTACTAGCTAAATCTCCAAATGATTTCCCTTACTAACCCATGTAACGGAGGTAGCCAGGACACCATCTCCCTCAGATTTACCATATGAATTTTTTGTGACAGTATTTTAGCTTAGATTGTCTGCGTACATACCAAACACTGGGTCTGATAAGCATTGCAGGAGGCAGGCAGCTACAGACAACCTTCCCGAT